TCTAAAAAGTTGGACATCTTACTTTATTATTGTTTATCATTTTTATATGGCCAAGCAGGCTCTCGGTGGCCCACAACTTATGAAAAACAATAAATAACAGTAAAAATAAAAGACACAGAAACGTAGAATAGAAATGCAGCATCTGCACAAACCGCAAGCGCCCCCCCCCGCCCAAACAGTTCCCTTTGAGGCTTCCAGGCTGATGAAGTGGGGGGGGGCAAAGTGACTTCCTGCAAGGGACCACTGAGGTAGGAAAACCAGGGACCAGGGCCTCACCCCTCCCCAAACCTCCCCAAAATGGGAGAGAGCCAACTGCTTCTCCCAAAGGGATGGCCCGCCCAAGTGCTCAGAGATATAGGGCTTCCAGCCTGAGCAGGGGGATGGACTAGAAGACCTCCAAGGTCCCTTCCAACTCTATTATTCTGAGATGCAGCCCGGCAGGCAAGCCAGCCCTAAGCAACAAAGGACTTTGAAGCCAGCACTTCAAATGGCACCTGGAAGAAGCCAACAAAGGGCCTTCAAAACGGGTCTGATGTGCACCTGCGGGCAAGTAACTGGGAGCAGCCCCCCCCCACTGGATCTGGCACCCTCTGAAGGTTCCTGGCATCTATAACAGCGGCCCCATGTGGGGCGTGTGGCAGGTGCCTGGGTGAGTGGGGAGCAAGAGCCCCGGGCCTCTGGTTCAGCTCCTCCTGCCCCAAACAAGGCGCAGCTGGGCCAAGAGCCCCCCCCCGAAGCCCCTTCCCATGGGCTGCTCCAGCACGGGCTGCTCTCCCCCTCCTGACAGCTCTCCTAAGGTTCCCAGTTCCAGAGGCTCCAAGGCTTTTGGAGTGTGTTTGTGATCTCGCTCACCACCCTCTGCTCCTGCTCTCCTGTGAAGGCTCCTCACCACCCTCTGCTCTTGCTCTCCCTGTGAAGGCTCCTCGGATGAGAGGCGACGGGGCAAAACATGGAGAAGGCAGATCTGGCCGTTTCTTTCTAGTCCCCGGGAGGTGAACTTCCCGTCTTTCTCCTACGCATCGTCTTTATTGTTTTGAACATCTCCGGCGAGCTTTTGTTCCTTCACTCCCCCCCCCATGCCTTCATTTCCCCACTGTGAGCCTCATACCCCCTGGAGACCCCAAAGTGATTTCTTCACCCTTTCTCCCCCCCCCACGCAACCAGCAGGAGGCGAGAGAAGGTGGGTTGGGAGATTCTGGGGTCACAGCTGGACTCCCCATTCCAGGGGGCAAAACCTCTGGTGATGAGCCCCCGTCTTCCACTGGCACCTCTGCTGCTCATGGTTCACCCTGTGGCTTCTGCCCTCTGAGTACCAGGCGGTCTGGTCACCCTCTGTGGGAAGAGCCGGGCGCACCCCCCCCCCTGCTTGGGCTCCTTCCTGTATCTGCCGGGCCTTCGTATAGGGGAGGGAGTGATGTTCTGTCTTCTTCTTCAAAACCTGTTCCTTTAATTTTATCTGTATCTCATCTTTATTAGGCTTTGTCGCACAGTCAGCCAGATGTTCAGAGAGGGTTTGGCGGTTTTGTCTGCCTATTATGGAGTCTTTTTCCTAAAGGCCTGGGAGAGGCAGATGTGGATATTTGATGGGGCTGAAGGTCTTGTCTCCGGAGGTCAGCTGCCTTTTGCAATTGACTGATGGGGGGGGGGCTTCTCTCTCTCCTCCGGAGGCAAAGGGTCCATGGGGAGGGCCTGACCCCCTCTTGGCCCCTTTGGGAAGACTGGAGGGGAGGGGACCCGCCCTGTTCCCTGCATGTCCCCAAGCAGCCGTCTTCTCCTCCCCTCCCTCCTCTTTCTCCAGGAGTCCTGGCTGGTGCCCAGGAGCAGCATGTCTGTGGCCCACCTTTGTGTCTCTGTGTGTGTGTGGGGGGGAGAGGCTTCTACGCCTTCTTTGGGCCCAGGCTGAGGGACAGGAGTTCTGCACCGCAGGAGCCACCCAGGTTCCCTGCCCCAACCGAGGGTGGGAGGGTGGAGGGAAAGGCGGGGGGGGGGGGGTCAGGAGGGAAGCGGCTCCTAAGCCTCAGGAGTGAAAACAGCAAGAGCCCCCCACCCGAATCTCCTTCCCTTCGCACTCGCTGCTCTTTTGCAAGACCGCTGGGCGCCCCCCCCCCTCTTTGGGGCAACGGTTCAAGGCCAAGGTAGAAGGCCAGCTGCACGAGGGGGGGGGCTGCTTCCTCCAGTTCCGCTGCCCCCCTACCCACGAGCAGCCAGCAGAGACCTGGCCCCAGCCCCCCTCCGGGGTCCGGCCCTCGGCAGAGCCTCCTGCAGCTCCGGAGTAATTTCTCCCAAACTGCCGGTGCAATTACAGTGAACTACACCGGAGCCGCCGCGAGCAGCTGCCTCTTGATCGGACCCAGGAACAGCCGTTTAGAGCGGATTAGGCTTGGGGGTGGGGGGAGGGCCGGCGTCAGCCCCCTTAGTCCCTGCGTTTCGGGCAGACCCTCCCGCTCGCCTCCGGGCTTCCGTGTCCCGCAGGTGCGGAGCGCCGGAGCGCAGCGGGGCCTGCCCGGGGGGGAAACGGGGGTCAGCGAAGGTCCCGGACGGTCAGCCTGAAGTCCGCGCAGAGAGCTCCGACCAAGGGAGGGGAGGCGACGGGCTGGGCTGGGGGCAGGGAGGGGTGGAGGCAGCCGCGGGGAGCCCAGAACCCCCTCCCTCCAGGCTCCTTCCAAGTGGGCGGGATGACCCCTCTCCCCCCCCCCCCCCGGTGTTGGGGCTACCTCTGTTCTGATCAGGCCTGGGCAAGGAGGACAGAACGGGGCAGGGGGGGTATCTGGGATGAACAGCATGATTCCCACCCCAAATCTTGCTTTAGACACAATGGGAGGGGTGGACCCCCTGATTTTCCATAGCACTTCACCCAACCAACGCCAGCATCAAAGCCTCAGCAAAAGCTAGCCTTCTGCAGCTGACTAGCCCCCCCCTTCCTTCCTCCGATGCCAGGCACCTGCCTAAAACAGGAGGTCCTTCCTGCTTGCTGGAATGCCCGGAGCGCCCCTGATCAAGCTTTGGTGGCTGGAGGACCTGCAACCTCCAGGCCACTCCGGCCCCCTGTAGGAGAGGGGACTCTCCAGAGCAGGGGTCCTCAACCTTGGCAACTTTTAAGACTTGTGGACTTCAACTTTGCTGGCTGAGGAATTCTGGGAGTTGAAGTCCGTAAGTCTTAAAAGTTGCCAAGGTTGAGGACCCCTGCTCTGGAAGACCCCACCTGAATCGGGTGGTTTTGAGTGTAGCCAGCTCTGGGATGAAAAACGCCTCATGTTGGGCCTGGGATCCTGCTGGCCACCAGGGCAACAGCTGCCAAGTTGGCATTATGCCCCCACAGGGACCCCCTCCCCCCCCTCCCTGCCTTCTGCATTCAGTACCCACTGAGCATATCCCAGGTCAGTGATGGCGAACCTTTTAGAGACTGAGTGCCCAAACTGCAAGCCAAAACCCACTTATGCATCATCGAGTGCTGGGTGGGTGTGGCCCATTGGGTGGGCGTGGCCCATTGGGTGGGCGTGGCCAGTGTAAACGGCAGACTGGGTGGGACTAAAANCACCCGTGCCATAGGTTCGCCGCCACTGGCCCAGGTCATCTTCAGAGGCCGCTGTTCCTCACAGCCTCTTTGACACCAACTCAAGATGTCCACAGTGTCTCTGGCCGGGATCAGCATGGTCGCCTCTTTGCATGTGTTCAGAAGAGTTGGGCAGCAGACAGAGCCCCCCCCCCAGCAGGCCCTCCCTGAGGCTCAGCTCACAGAGCCTTTCCCTCCCGGCCTCCCACCCAGAACCTGCCAACGTGGTGACCCCTGGGCCGTTCCCCCCCTAATAAGGAGGCCCCACAGATGAGAAGGAAATGGTTTATTTCACGTCCCAGGAGGACCTTGCAGGCTCACAAGGCTTGGGACTTCCAGGGGGGCTGCCAGCTCCTCCCCACTTGGAGCAGGGGGAGGGAGGGCTCAGCGCCTGCAGTGTTGGGGGGTTGTCCGTGTGACCCCCCCTCCCATGGCTGTTCTGCCTGCGGTCGAGGGAGGCTGGGTGGAAAATGTCAGATACCCTGTTTGGCCCCTTCCTTGTCCCGGAGCCCGGCTGCTCCGGTTGCACCGGGGGAGGGGCTGGTTCCCCACCTGGGGCCGGAAAAGAGCCATGGAAGTTCCTGAGCTGGAGGGCGAACAGCCTCCCCTCCGCCCCTGGCAGAAGCGGCCGGAGGGGGGGGTCACAGTGGTCAGGGGGGCTGGGAGAGGGGAGGGGATGAGCAGATATCCTGAGACGAGGCCTCTCAGTCAGCCAGTCAAGGGGGGGCAGCAGCCTAGGAAATGCCCCGGGCACAGGGGGGCCTTCTGCTATGGGAACCCTGGACCAGCTTTGTCCCAGCTCCCCCAGGGCCTCTTCCAAATGGAGTGGGGGGCCGAGGGTCCCCCAGGGAGGCTGCGGGCACAGAAGGGGGCTGGTTGCTCTGGCTCCCCACCCCCCCCAGCCTGCAGAGGAAGGGGGGCAGGGGCAGCAGGGAGGACGGGGGAAGGGCGGCCAGGGGGAGCCTCTGTGCCTGGATCGCTGGACTGGCCGGAGCGCTTGGCCAGGAGCCCAGGGCCGGGTGCCCCCCCCCCGCAAGAGCCCCAGTGAGGAGGAGTGCCTGGGGTCTTGGCAGAGACTCTGCTTAACAGATCAAAACTTGTCAAAGGCCGACAATCAAGGGACAAAATCAATTTGGCAACAAAAGGCGCCCCCCTCCGCCCCCCCCCGGCAGCTCTCTCCTGACACAGATCCATTTAAATGATAATTTGCCAGAGGAGCTGCCTGGCACTGGTCCTTCCTCCAGGGAGGGGGAGAGCCTTAATGGCGGCGGCGGCGGAGGAGGAGGGGGCTCCGAGGGGCTGCGCTGGTGGTCAGGCCACCCTTCTCCCACCAAGCCCCCAAGGTCCCTGGGCAGCCCCCTGGAAGAGGGCGAGGGCCCGTGGGGGGACTTGCGGGGCCCCGAGGAGCGCTGCTCCGGCGGCATTGCGTCCCCTGGCTGGGCCGGGCCTAGGTCTCCCAGCTGCCCCCCTCGGCCCGGGGCGCCGCGTAGAGCGCGGCCAGCTGCCGGAAGCGGGGCCCCCAGCCGCCGAGATAGGAGAAGTCCTGCTCAGAGCCGGTCGAGCGGGAGGCGATGGAGCTGAGGGAGGCCAGCGGGGAGTCGGCCCCCTCGAAGGCGTAGGTCTGGAAGGAGTCGTAGGGGGGCACCGAGGGGTCGCCGTCCGCCTGCCCCACTTTGCGGCTGATGTAGTCTCTGAAGAGGGAGAAGTCCAGGTCTGGCGCCTGGCGCCACTGGGGCAGGGAGTGCAGCTCCGAGGGCGGTGGGGGCGCCCCCTTCTCGTCCCCCCCCTTGGTCTCGCCAAACTCGTAGAGGCTGCGCAGGGCCGACATGTCGTAGGCCTGGGTGTCCTGCTCGCCCCCACCCTCATCGTTGTACTTGATGACGTTGTCCCGCATGTCCTCGTCCTCCTCGGAGGGCAGGTGCCCCTTCTGGTGCCGCTTCAGGGCCAGGATCAGGAGGACCAGCACTGCAGCCGGGGGGAGGGGGGACATATGGGGAGAGAGAGAGAGGCAGGCAGTGGAAGAAGCCCCCTGGCAAGGGCCGACCCCACCCCTCCCTGCTGGCCGATGGGCTTTGGAGGGGCCCAGAGTCATCCTTGTGCCCTGCCGTCTGAGAGGAGGCTGCCCCCGGGCACCTGCCCCCTCCACCAGGGCCCAGAGACAGCCCCATCTCCTCTCTGGCAGGGGGGCCTCTTCTCGAAGGGGCCCAGGCCCTCCTCCCCGGCTGACCCTTGCAGGCAGGCCCTGAAGTCTCGGAGGAAGCAGCTCTGGGGAGGGGAGGGGCCACTTGCAGACAGGCCTCGTCCATCTCGTGCCCCCTGAGCTGAGGGCAGGAAGCCCACCTGCACTGCGTTGGGGGGCTGGCCTGACGGGGCCACACCGGGTGCAGCAAAAAGGACCTGAGCAGCCCAAGGCAGAGGCCGGCCCACCTGGGCCCTGGGGCTAGACAGCTGCTTCTGGCTCCGATTCCCCCCCCCAGACTTCCCACTAGGGCTGCGGGCAAGACGTTGCCGTGTCATCTGCAGGCCCTCCCGGCAGCACCTCTTCAGCCAGGCGGCCTCCTGGGGCAGTGCAGTGCAAGGGGCGGACCGTCAGAGAAGCCCGGGGTGTCTGGGGGAGGACACTCACCCACGAGGATGAGGAGGCAGACCAGCAGGGCGATGAGGGCGCCAGGGCTGAGCGAAGGGGACACCACAAAGGCAGTGGTGTTGCACGACTGGATGGTGCCGGTGTCGTCGCAGCCGCAAATGCGGATGGTGAGGGTGCCGGTGCTGCTGAGGGTTGGGGGGCCACCGTCCACCACCAGGATGGGCAACAGAAACAGGTCCTGTTCATGGCGATTGAAGCCCAGGTGCTGAGTGTGCAGCCCAGCCGTGTCGTCTGGGGAGAGAGCAAGACCCGTGGGGGGGGTGTGCCAGCGAAGGGCACAATCCCTGCAGCCCCTCCGAAAGCAGGTGCCGCCCACTCTGGCCCTGCCACCCAGCCGCCTCTCCCTGTCCATCCCTCTGCAGAGGGCCCAGAGCTGGCTGGGTGGAAACAGGTGAGACGACCCCTTAGGGAGACCCCCAGATAATCACCCACACAGGAAATCCCCTGCAGGAGGAAGCAAGCTGGTGCTACTGCTGCCCCCGCCAGCTGGAGCAGGGGTGGGAGAAGGAGGGACAGAGACCCCTGGGCCCACCCTGCCCATCCTGCAGCAGGCAGTGGGGGGGGGCTGCCCTCTTGGGCTGGGAACCTCAGCCATGGAGAGCCTGAGGCTGCCAGCCAAAAGAGAGTTTGGCAGTGGGACCAGAGCCTGAAGAGGTGGGGGAGGGGGTCCTCTCCTCCGCTTGGGTTGCAGTGGAGGCTGGGCAGCCATTTGGCAACGGATGCTTTCATTTGGATTCCTGGTCTGAGAGGGTTGGGCTAGATGGCCTCAGGAGCCCCTGAGGGTTTTATGCTGCTTTCATCTTTTTGGAGTTGCCTTTCCTATCAACCCCTGGGAGGGATGAGCGAAGACTGTTGGGAGAGGAGGCCACCAGTAGATATTCCCCGCAGGGTCACCCAAGGGATAGTGGTCACTCCAGTGGCGGCCTATATAGGAAGATGCTGGAGGAGAGTCTCCCTTTCGTGACAGACCCGACTCCTCCTGTGTGGGAGGGGGGGTGTGACGAAGCCCCCCTGGACTTCACCAGGAGAAACACATGGGTGGAAAGTACACCACGGCTGATGACCGAGTCCCAGACGGCAGGCCCCAAGGAGGAGCCGAGCAGTCCGAAAGGCTCCTTTGACTGTCCGAATGACACGGCTACATTAAAGCCTTTGGGACCTCTAGTTGCTGATGTTGCTGGATAGTGGCCTTCCGGGTGCGCTTTAAGGTGTTAGTTACCACCTTTAAAGCGCTCCATGGCATAGGACCTGGCTACCTCCGAGACCGCCTTCTGCCACAGATTCCCTCCCATAGACCGGTACGCTCCCACAGAGTGGGTCTCCTCAGGGTGCCGTCGGCCAAGCAATGTCGGCTGGCGACCCCCAGGGGGAGGGCCTTCTCTGTGGGTGCCCCCACCCTCTGGAACGAACTACCCCCCGAGATCCGGATTATTCCGGATCTCCTTACTTTCCGCCGCGCCCTCAAGACATGGCTCTTCCAACAAGCGGGCCTGGCCTAGGGAGGATTTTTAAATTGGGTTTTTTAGAAATTTTAATTATCACAACACTAAAATATTGGTTTTAATTTGGTTTTATTCGGTGGGGTGTGTGGGTTTCTCTTTGTTTTTAATAATGTTGTGAGCCGCCCTGAGTCCTTCGGGAGAAGGGCGGGATACAAATTGGAATAATAAATAAATAAATAAATAAATAGGAAAAGCAAATCCGAAGTCAGAATTACCGTGGAAACACGGGACCTAAGAAGCACGAAGACGGGAAAGCCCCCCACAGAGAGAGATGAAATGAAATGACTACAAAGTACATCTCAGGCATCAGCAAATTGAGACGGACTCGCACCAGGCACTTTGGGTCAGAGGACACCATCCCTTATTACTCGGGACACAAAGAACAAAGCAGGCCCAGCGCCGCTTTTACCGCCAGGAAGGGTGTAGCGAGAACTGATCTTGGCCACAATGCAATCAAGGACCAAACAATGTCGATTAGACCGTGGACAATCCTTTAATTTGACATTCAAGTTTATGTTCCAACCTCCGATGCGGGGGAGGAGGAGGAGGAGGAGGGGGGGGGAGGAGGAGGAGGAGGAGGAGGAGGAGGAGAAGGAGAAGGAGAAGAAGAAGAAGAAGAAGAAGAAGAAGAAGAAGAAGAAGAAGAAAAGAAGAAGAAGAAGAAGAAGAAGAAGAAGAAGAAGAAGAAGAAGAAGAAGAAGAAGAAGAAGAAGAAGAAGAAGAAGAAGAAGAAGAAGAAGAAGAAGAAGAAGAAGAAGAAGAAGAAGAAGAAGAAGAAGAAGAAGAAAGAAGCTGATGGA